ATGCAAAACTCAGAGCAGTCTTGTATGATTTTGGTCACCATGACTGTCAAAAGGTCAAACAAGGGCACTGACCTCAAATGGGCCTTTGACCTTTGCTCAAAAACAGTTTCCTAAGTTCTGGGTCACTTTGATGACCAACCTAGAATTTGACCTTGTTTGAAATTACTTGACCTAAAGGTCATGACCTAGGAAGCTCAAACTTTGACCTAGGTGAGTTCACGTACGGGTCAAGACACTCTAACATTTTGGTGTCTCTAGCGTTCTGAGTTCCCGAGATCTCAGGGGGGTCAAATTGACCCCTCCACCCGAGCGAAGGGTATCTAGCCGGCCACCCGGGCACGTGTTAGGACATCAATGACAACCCAAAAAAATGTGTTGTCGCAAACTATTACAAATCCGTAAATTACCGCAATTGCAATTGCAGTCACAATTATAAAACTGCAAATTATCGTCCTCTGCCTGTGAAAACCATCATGAAACCTAACGCATTTGCGGAAGCTGATGGTGTCGGTTGCCGAAGGCATCAAACTTCATGAGCTCAGTTTCTGGGATGATCCACACGACAACTCACCGACAGTTCTCACACCTGTCATCGTCTGGTACGTCCCTCGCCGCACGAGGTGTCTCACTGACCTCAGTTAATCTCACGTCGCCGTGACGCCTGGTCGCCGATGCCTATTCCTGTCCCGCTTAAAAACGCCCAGGAAGTAGAGACCGCCCCAACCTATTTCCGTTTCCGGTTCCTGGTGTTTTCATCATCCGAAAAATTTGTCTCCCACGTTTTCTGAATGGGGTGGTGAAAAAGCCGCGCCATTTTACCGCGTTGCAGAAACACGCCGTCTAGTCAGACACTGCACTTCAGTACACTGCGATGCTATAAGAAATAAGAGTTGAGGGATCCTGCTTCTTGTTCGTAAAAACTCAATGGTGGCGCGGTCAGTGATCACAAAACTACAGAAGTCCGTCCGCAGCGTTACTGAACGGGCCGGGCCGGGGCACCGAGGCCGCATGAATTTTGATTCGGGAACCTTAAGATTTGCTCAGTCTGGGGCCTCCCTTATGACGAGGATGGGCGGAATCGTAGTTTTCAACGCATGCACGAAGTAAATTGCTCGTTTCACTAACTCTAAGCTGGACAGTGAGAACAGGTCCCAAAACAGGGACTGGAACGGTCTTACGTAGGTAATAAGCCCATAAATAACACCAGAGAACAGGATCCTGAACTCGCAGTAACTGGGCACAACGGTCGACAGTGAGACAAAGATCACAATGCGACCAAAATCCTTGATCTCCCCTGATAACCTAGAGTCCTGTTCACATTATTAAGTGTCTTCATCGAGTGAAGGCTCTACAAATCAGACCAGATCATCCAATTTACGACGAGGGCGAATTCAGGCCATTTTCGGGGGTGTACATGCTTTTCACTACGCAAATCATTTGATGGTTCATTTCCGCGCTGCAGGTGGGGTGTCCCCAGTTAGAAGCTCTACCCACCTCAAAATAACGCTCCCCTCTCGACCCGCCCTGAGAACGCCACTGACGCCCATCACCAGCAAAGGCAACCACGGCCGGCTCAAATTAATCCAGCTAATTTCTTGAGTGGTTGCGTAATACAGTAGGCTGCCGGCTCCCACAAGCATGAGTAACCGTCGGTGTCTAACTGTAGCCAGGTTCGTGGGGCAGCGATTACGCCAGTAATTGTGCGGCTATTTGCATGCCCCAGCTGGAATCGTAAATCCTCCACGAGCCTCGCTGGCCGGAGATAATTGTTGGGCGCGGTGCTGGCTGCAGTCGCCCGCTTAAATATATGGGTGGTTGCAAATTTAAAGAAGGGGAATACACGCCCTGTGGTACCTGAAAACGTTTCTGCCGGGGCTGCGACTATTTACTGCACGTCCATGAATGCTTATTTCGCGCAATTACCTCTACAATAGGCATAGCATCCATGCATGAACATGTTCCAGGCTGTTTACACTGTTCGCCAGAGGTATTTCTGGAAAGGCCCTGCGAGCGACATGATTAAATTAGCACGCCGTGATTTAACGGGCCATGAGTCTGCACTTGACTGTCTAAGTCACGGCCGGCCCGCATTGGCGCCGCTGTGGGCTGCATCAGCCCGAGCGGAAGTCGCACCTGCGTCCAAGCAGTGCGCACAGCGCCAGCTGTTTGGGCACCCAAGGTGACAGGGGAACAGGCGATCTGGCAGCGTTATCTAATCGCGCTCTGGCCGGCTGCGGCGGCAGGTGTTGAGTTCCTTGCCAACTGGCGCTATCGCGCACTGTTCGGCGGGGCTTAGCGAAGCGGAGAGGGCCCGGAGGTAACCAGCAAGGAGCCGTGCGAGCGATGATTCCCACCTTCGGGGGCACCACCGATGCAGAACACGGTCGAGGCGAGGTGATGGTCGATATCGTAGTGTTCTCTGGCCATACAACGTGTCTATGTGGGCGCCCGCTGCAGGTGCTGCGCGGGGCCCCCGCTGCCTTTGTCAGTTTAAGTCGGGACAGGCTGTGGATGTCTTTGTTATCGACCGGTGCCTCGAATGCTCCCGAGGATGTGCTGACTTCAGTGACAAATGCATTCGCACCCGCTCGATGATTTGTTGCGGGTGGCTTTTGCAACCAGCAGCTGATCCACACACCGCCGATGTTCGGAGTGGGTCAGTGGGAACTGAACGGCGTCTCCGTCGTCTGGGTCCCGGCGATTGGGCTGCATGTGAACACGACGGCGGGCCGACCCTGCTGGCTCGAATAAGACGGGTCCAGAGCGGACTGAGGCGGCCCAAAGCCGACAGATCAGAGCAGCCCTGACCAGCTGGCCCGGGCGGCTGGTCCGGCGGCGACGGTCAGCTGAAACATAGTGACCTTTAGGGACGGGTCGTTCGGAAGGGCTCAAGATACCCCCCACCAGCCACGTCAAAGGCACCGACCCCGGAGGTACTCAAAGAAAGGATGAACTCACCCAGCCATACTAAAGCACACGGTACCCCAGCTGTTTATAGCCATTTGGTATTCATATTTTCAACAGGCATCCTTGATAATGGGTGGTGGTCTGCAAGGAGAGCCTTGTCACTGTATGACGCGTACCAAGGAGCAACAGCACGTGGACGAAAGGGAGCCAACGAGACAAGCTACACCCATCTGCAGCCTGTTCCTGCACACATGCGATGACTGCCAAGACGGCCGACACCAGCCAAAACGCTCTCGGCGACGATTCGCTGAATCATTGGGGGCACACGCCTTGCAAGCTAAAGCGAGCACCGAGCGCGGAAAACGCCATAGCCGTGGCTCCGGCCGGCCAGGATTTATCGCAGGGCAGAACAGCCTTCGGGAGCTCTTCGACGATTCTCCAACAGCGCTCCAGTGGCTCGTTATCGGCTGCAAAAGTACCGCGGCCCCGTCTAGCCCACATATCTCCCGGGATCGGGTCGGTACGCCGCAGGGCACGGCTGGGCCGCCGCCAGGGGCGCCACCAGCCGGGCAGGAGGCCGCCGCCGTTCACGGTCAACGGAGCGTTGGCGGCGTAGCCGAACACGAACGAGGACCTCGTGAAACCCACTTGAGCTCATCAGACTTGCTCATATTCGAGAATCGTTCACCGGGCACTGGGCGGCCGCAAGCGGCCACTTCAAAAGCAACGATGCCATCTCAGATTCACTTCCCAGCGACTACACGCTACAGTGGACTTACGTGATAGCTGCCGTGAGAAAATGCGAGGCTTATGTTCACAGCATGGCATGAGCTCGCCTTCGCATCAACCCCTATAGTACGGCCGGTAATGAAAAGAGTTCCACGCTTTATAAGAATGATCATGTACACAGCAAGCTAAGACATCGCCGCAACATTTACTTGGTTTTCGGAGCAGAAGATGCCTTGGTGTCGGCGCCGCCTCGTGACCGCCCCGCCGTGCCGTGACGCGGCGCTGCCCATCCGTATGCCTTTCTCTTTTCATGCAGGGCATAGTGGCAGTTAAGCGAGGAGGCAGAGACACAGAAACATTGATACAAAATACCAATGAGTACCAAATGACGTCATCGTATAAATAACTCACAGAGAACAAATCAGCAATGATGCCCTCCGCGCAACAAACACCTATTCCAGCACCAGTTGACCAGGTCGATGACCGGAATACGATTTATACGTCGACAGCGACCGAATGACAAACGCACTTAGACTTGGATGTTTGATTACAAAACACGATCGTGCTGTCCGCAGAAGAATCAGCGAAAAATGCGAAGCTCTTCAGACAAACATTTGCAAGCTTTCAGCCGCTCATGACAAAAGAGCCAGCAACGAGAACTTAAAACAAATTATATCAAAGCAAAACAATGTAGAGGTCAAACACTAACGATTGGGTCCTCCTGCCCTTCCAAATAGCATCAGCCGTGGACTCATCAGCATCAGCCGCTCCGGCCACTTCTCATTCCTAACAGCGCAGGCTTCGGGTCAATGAATCAGCTCAGTTCAGCGTCGGGACGCAGAACACGGCGGACGGCTGCTTCGGTATAGATTCGATGGTGCTGCACACCCAGCAGCAGCCATCCAGCGATCTCGCTGATGGGGTCAGCTCTCTGGCCACAGCAGCCTGCAGAGTGGTCTGCTCTGTGGTGTGCTGGCGTGGTTGGCGGCGGCACTCATTGGGGCAACGAGGATAGAAGGCTTGGCCCGCTTCAGGATGGATTACGGTCCTTTAACCCGTAAGACGATTTCAGGGCCATGCGATTGAGAGGGAAGGTAAGTGGCGAGGCAAGACTGCGGCCGTCGTGGAGGCCTCCACTGCATAGCCTCACTCCGCGGAGGGCCCCCGTCTACGTGTGTGTGTGTGTGTGCGGACGCCCGGGGGCGGGGCCTTATCAGACACGCCCTGATGAAAACACGCAGCCTTTTTCAGTAAACGGATTGCAATTCAAAGGCATCACACATCACAGACCAGTCGTCTGAGAGGGCGAGCTGTACGCGGAGCACACTGTCGATCACAAGGCAGTGGCGCACGACACGGTGTCATCACTCTCCTTCCGAGTCCATACCAGCATCCACCACACTGGCAGGAGCTGCCGTCTCGGACATTTCGTGAAGATGACCTAAACGGGGGGCGCTGGTCTCCTGAACCTCCGTACTGTTCGCAGCTCGCGTCTCCGACATTTGGTGCAGATGCCCCACACGCTCCACGCTGGAGTCCTGTTCTTCAGCGACGGCCACGGCTGGTGCCCCCGGCATTTGGCGATGCCCCACACGCTCCACGCTGGAGTCCCGTTCTTGAGCGATGGCCACGGCTGGTGCCTCCGACATTTGATGGAGGTGCCCCGCACGAGGCGCAACGGTCTCCGGCTCCGCAACCAGCTCCATCGGCCCGGAGCTCGACGCATCGAGCCCCGCCAGCGGCCGCCCGTGCTCCTCGAGTACACCGCGCTGGTGTTCAGGAGACTCGGCCGCCTGATTGGGCGCGTCACAGGCCTGACGCTGGGACTCGCCGAAAACACTGGCCTTCCGCTGGGAACCGTCTGCGGGCCAGAACGCCGACCGGGACTGTACAGGGACGGGAGACTGCACCTGGGACATGGTGGGGGAGGACTGGGACTGTGACTCGCCAGGGAGCGGCGACTGCAACTGGGACGAGGTCGCGGCAGTAGCGCTGTCATCTCCCTGGGAGTCCTGAGACGCGGTCGGCGGCGGAGACCGCACCGCCCCCCGCGGAGACCCTGGCACCGGGGCCGACTGTGGTGCCACCTGTGCCGGTCCAGGTGGCGGCGACGCCGGGAGCTCCACCTCGGCGGACCCCGGCGCCGGAGTCAGCTGGGGCGCCATCTGTGCCGGTCCAGACGGCGACGCCCGAGCCTGCGCCTGCTGCTGAGAAAATTGGGCGCGCATCCGCCGCAGCTGCGCCAGCTCCCTGTTCTTCCGCATGCGCTCCTGCTGCTCTTCCGAGAGGGTCTGCGGCAGACAGGCGGTGTGGGCAACGGTCTCTCGCGTCCCGGCGCGGCCATCACAGGGAAGATCGGATCACAAATGTTCCGAATGGTACGCTCCATGACGAAGCGACAATGGCACCTAGCCACACAATGTGTGCATAGAAATCGCACACCCACAATGCAAAACCTCGATTCGAATTAAATGAAATGCACGCAACCGGAAATACGTCACAAATTGTGAATGCATGAATGCACATTGTCATGGACTATAATGTTATCCTCAAACATAAAAATAAAGACGTCCAATACCTTTTGGCGGTAATTAAAAGACCTACGCAAATGCACGCCACAGGAGTTAAGTGTGAAACCAACAACGCACGATTATTTGTGCTCGACGCCTTCCCCCAACGCCGTGAACAGAAGACACCCAATCCCAAAGCGGCTTCCTCCCTCGCCATTCGCATACGTTTGCAACAGATGGCACACCAACGAACCAATAGTGGCCACGGCTCCGCCCTTCCATTTTGGGCCGCAAAATGCGCCAACAAACCAAGCCCTGGGCGGAGCCCGCCTGCCGCCGGGCCTTTTGAGCACGCACTGTGGCTGGAGCCGCCTGCGACGACTGCGACGGCTGGGACGGCTCATCGCGGACCGGGGACGACGGCCGGGGCTCGTGGCGCGCCGCGTCCCCAATCAGCTCGTCGAACACGTCGACCTCGGGCGCGCCCCGCACCGTCGGGTCGTCGTCGTCGTCGATGACCGTCGGAAGCACGGACAGGCCCATCCGGATCTTCCTCACGTTAGTCTGAGGCGGTCCAGCGGGAGATTTAAGGACTACGTCGGCCGTGGCGTGATGTGCATGCTTGTGAAAGGAACATCACTACATGCATCAGGCCAACTACGATAAACAAATTTCGCACAGAAGAATAAAAAACTGCCGACCATCGAGCAGACAGCAAACACTGGCTCACAGACCGTGGGGTGTATAACTGGCACAAGTGATTCAACCACGGGCTCCTCGAGTGCCGAATAACACTCGCACCTGAGAACACTGTTCACCGCGTCTACAGCATGTTCCCACCCTCAAGGGACCACCCCGACGATGACATACGTGCACCGGTTTGGTTTTGCCCAGCTTCTCGATCCGCTCTAGCGCCGAGTCCAACGGCATCTTGGGGAACATCCGGTGCGCCCAGTGCTGCAGCTTGGCCATGAGCACGGTGAGGTCGGCCTGCTCGTGCCCGCGGCCCTGGAATGTCACGCCCGAGAAGGTGTGCTCCATGATGCCGATGCCGCGCGCGCCACACAGCCGGTCGCCGTTCAGCTTAGGCTGGGGCCGCGAGACGCGCTTCTTCTTGGCTTTACCGTCACCGACGTCCACGTCCACGTCATCTGCGGCAGCGAGCACGTCCACGTCGTCCGCAGTGCAGAGGGCGGCCAACTGCAGCTGCACTATAGCCAACATTCAGCACAGATCTGGCATTGGCGTGCAAACTGCGTGAATGGCAGCATCAGCTGATGTGACCCAACATTGTACTGGGCGATACAAAAACCAGTCGCCAGGGTATATAAGCATGTCACACATTGCTGAGTCCAGAGTGGGCAAGACGACAGTTCTTACTTCATACCAGTCCTTCTAGTGGTTTAAGCTTCTTATAACCACATCTAAATGACTCAACTTGTTGCTGGTCATTCACAATCCAAGTGGTAAAATGGTGTATCACTATGATATAACCAACGACCACACGCTAGCACGCATGCTTGTAAAACGACCGCTATTTCTGGCACATCACTTAATGTGTGTGCTTTTTAAAGGATCACGCCTAAATCTTTTGCTCAGATTGATTTCAGTAAAAAGTCCTCACACTAAGCAATGTTTGCTGCGGAAGGCCTGACCCCACCATCTGATCATAAAATTTGAAGTCAATGATAGGATTTGTGGCAAACACTTAACATCCTGCACGCTCGGCAAGGCCCGCCCTGCTCTCTGACGTCGGCCAACCTTTAGCGAGACGGCTGCCACCATCCATCGGCAACCGCAATCAGGAGCAAACAGTGAGCACTTAAAGTGACTACAAATCACCTCACCATGGCTTGGTGCATTGAAAGCAGGTGCTCTAGCCAACTGAGCTATCAGCACAGACATGTCACATTTCACACCTGCTCAGTAGGAAAGTCAGACCCTGATGCAGCAGATATACCTGCAAAACAGGGACTGTTTTGCTGTTATATCTGAGTCACATTTGGTTTGATGACAACCTGACTCCCACTTAGGCGCTCCTCAAAATCCATGAACATCAAACTCAATGTTATTCACATGGCACATAAGTTACTCAACAAATGACATAAGTATCAGGCCCACTCAATATGTTGATCTCTTCCCTTTATACTGTACCTTCAGTGGTCTAAGGTGTCCCACAGTGGATTATGAGCCAGATAGCTGCCTCTACACTCATAAACAATATTTCTATGCTCCCTGCATCAGAAGCTTGAAAATCAATGTTTCTCTTCATCATAATCAATCAGACACACCTCTAACCTAGCATGCAGATCCAACTGAATAGAGGAGTTACAGGTCCTCTGAGTATGCCTTAACTATACAACATACCTGTCTTGTTTTGCTCAGTTTCAGCATTTTCATCAGCTTCATTACCACTTTCATTCCCATCAGACTGAACTTCAGTCTCATGAACAGCCTCTATATCTTCTGCTGGCTCAGTATCAAACAGGTCATCAAAGTCAATGTTCATGGCTGTTCACAAGCATCTGTAAATGCCTGCAAATAAAATATCCCCATATTATTATAAGACATAAAACATAGATATTGCAGCTATCAAGAGCATTATTTACAAAATGCCATAGAGATCATGCAAGCTTAAAAGGAAAGAGGAAATGACACTAAATGAAGTCAGTTATGTCACTGAGGTTTGAAAGACTGCAAACATGTATCATTATATTGATAGACATGTCCATGCAAAAGACAAATTTTGGGTAAATCAATGAAATTTCATTTCCCCTATATAACCTTCATTTCCATTAACAGCTACTTTCATTAACTTAAGTGTTATCAGAAAATGTGTGGAGTCTGCAGATGTCAAGCTGCCACATACTCCATCTTGTTGACAGGACATGCACGCTGGCAGTCACGCTATACACGTATTCATGTGATTGTATTGATGAGCCCTATTATGTTGCATTCTTGAATATTCTGTTATTTTATGGCTGGCATTGCAGCCAAGCATATTTGTCATTGTTACAACATGATTTCATCATGTGAGAATATTGCCATATTAACTTGTTCAGTTGCTTTGCATAAGCAACACGTTTAAAATATTTAGATGCATCAAACTGTACCAACTACAGCCATACAGGATCACAAGTGATCAATAATTATTAATGCAGGCAAAATACTTAATTCGCAGCTGAGCTGACTTAAAAAGCTCATATCTTGAATATTAACACTGAACAATCACTAAAATGGGAGATAATTGATGAAAACACCCTATGATATAATAACACGATGACTTGAACTTCCATTCGTTATGACACTGGCACATTTTACACAGTAATTTAGAGCGGAATAACTGCAATACTATACGCTGGTACCGGACCAGAACCCCAGACTCCACACGCGGGACCACTTCGGCTCTTAGCGCACACGACGGGCAAACGTATGCACATGTGTTTAGACCTAGATCCTCTCGTATGTCTCAGGTCAGTCGTTTTCGAAACGCGCGCAAATAGAGATGAGATAAGTAGTTCCATATAAGAGACAACTTTTACCGTTTAGATATCTTGATCACACATTAATTGAAGTGAGTTCTGAAGAAACGGGTTTCACCAAAAAAATATCGTTTATCATAACTATTTGATAACCTTTTATTTGAAAACGTTTCTCTACAATCCATTCAAGGCTGTTTCGTTTATGACACTTACCATACAAAATGAGCGCGCCGAACGTTCCGCATCCATCGGCCCTTGTGGCTAAAGCTAAAAAGACTTTTATTGGGCTACCATCACCCCTTGGATATGTGGCTGGTGTCGGAAGAGGGTACGTAATTTTGTGCATTGTTGTCTTTTTATTTGGCATGCTTTGCCTCGTAGTTTCGTGTCGGGATGAGCTTTTGTGAAATGCGTGACGTTTGTCACATTTAGTGTGCATCCATCAAGATTTAAGTACTGTTTGGTAATCACGCATTAAGGATAGTCATTTGCATGCACTCTATTGGATTAAATGAAACGTTATGAAAATTGGTCATTTTATGGCATTGTATTTGGTTCAGAGCTTGACAAATTGTTCAGATTGATTGAACCATACCTTGTCTCCATACTGGGGTCATTTTCACAATTCACTAGTTAGGCGAAAACTTTGTTATGGGTGTAAAATTATCTTAGTTGGCATACCCTAAAATATTGCTAAGTAGCAATGCAAGAACTATACATTGTTTGGATCACTAGGCCCAAAACCTGTCCTGTAAATGCTGCTTAATTCTCAATGAAAATGCTGAATGCAGTGTTCCTCAATTTGGTATTTATCAAAGCTCCCTCATCAGTAGTAGCAATTTTTATTTATGTATGCCAATTATGAGACAGATTTGCTTCTTACTGTCATGAAGTTCATTTGTAATGCAGGTATCTACTCCTATTTAAAAGTGTTGGGATGAGCAATTCTCATAACTTTTGGTGTTTAGGACTTTGAACTCAAAGATCAGACCTTTGTTAGCATTGATGTTTTCTGGCACTAATCAAGCTGTCAATTTTTGGGCAGCCAATCTTCTCATGCTTTGCCATGTGTATTGTAAAATATTAAAATTGTTGTAGACCTGGCCTTCCCAAAGTATCCAGGAATAAATATGGAAAAGAATTTGATAATTATTTACTCTCTGGGCATGTTGTTCAAAACTGGATTGCTTTTGAGTTCAGTCCTGTTGAAAATGTAATGTTCATTGATGGTCAAAGGCAACAAGCCAGTCCATCATGTTTTTCTGATGAGGCTGCAGGCATGTTACTAGTTTTTAATACCATTGACTATTATATAAACAAGATGATGTTGATCTTGTAAGTGTGCTGTCTTGTTCCAATTGCATGAAACTATATTCAAAAATTATATACAGCCTCTCATGTGTTTCTTTGAAACATTAAAATTTAGCAAATGTTTATAGTTGCATAGAAATGCACTCTGATTACCTGAATGTGTGCGGTATTGCTGTTTGAGCATGGGTGAACAGGGCATGTCATTAGCATGCCAGTCTACAAAAATAATTTTCCCATAGACATGAAGGCAGTATTATGGATCTGAAGCATGTTGTTAGGGCCATGGAATGGAAGTAAGGTGCCACCATCTTTCTGTTTCACACCACATCTTCGGAACCAATTTTGAATGGCCCACATGTCACAGTGCCTGTTTCTGATATCATTCCTGGTTCAAGGCAGCACAGCCCAATTTTTAGTTGTCTTCATCACCAACTCAAGCATGTATGGTGAAATTCATGAATTCTGGCTGATGGAATTTATTTCAATTGCAGATTTGATTTCCTTTTCATCTGTTTTTGGCTTCATTTTCATCAACATTGTATGGTATGACACTTTTCAGTGGGTGCACATGCAGATAGAAAATGTATGTAGCTTTTGATTATGACAAAGCAATACCAGTAGTCTACAGTTTTTTATTGCTGATGTAAGCTGTCAGTATACTGATTGTAGCTTCAGAAAACTTTATTTTTGAATTACCTCATAAGTGATAACATTGGAAAGAAGTTGACTGAAATGCAACTCTGATTTACTCAAATTCGTCAGAGTAATGATTCCACTCCAAGTGCAAGTAATGCTATAATGCAACATGGTGCAGTACAGTACTGCATACTGTAGCAATCTTAATATTATTTGGCTGCTACATATTGCTGTGCACATATTTACCTGCATGTCTTCCTTTCAGAGCAACTGGTTTCACCACCCGATCAGATATCGGACCTGCAAGGCAGGCGACTGACGTATCGTAAGTACCCAAAATGCAGGCCGGCTGTTTCCATGAGCTGGGTTCTTGAAGTGCTCACTTTTCCTCTGCTATCCAAGGCTGTTGTAGGCTGCTCATTGTGTCATTTGCTTCTAGCATTACTGGCCTGAGCAGGCTTGGTTTGATAATAGCATTACTTCTTGAACTACAAGCATCAGTGACTGGGCTGTTGGTGAATCATACCACTTCCGAGGTACTTATGGTCAAGGCTTAAACTGCACCTGACACATAGCCGAACTGCAGGGACGAGAGGCACGCCGCGCCGCCCAAGCGGCGGAAAAAGGATGACGAAGACGACGAAACCGATCTTAACGAGTCCAACTACGATGAGGTAATTTTCGACGTCCTTATGGGGCATCACGTGTCAGATCCATTGGTACAAGCCACAGTTACGGACGAGTTTTGGCACTCCAGATGACATGCATGAAGGCCTCAAAATTGTGAAAGCATTGTGATATTCATTGTATCCTTATCAGCATGAAGTTGCGGCATCGGTGTCGTATGTTTTTGTGAAACATCCGTCTTGAGGGATGGCCTAGCAGGCATTTGGTTAGCGCAGGATGGCAGCGAATCACATTACATCACATGTTGTGTTTTCGGTTGTCAATAAGTTATTCGGTTAGCTCTTAGCCTGCTTCAGTGTTTTGTATTGCCGTCGATTTTAGGATGCTCTTAATCATTGACTTGTATTTAGAACCAATTTTATGACGCAAATTAGCATCTGTGTGATGCATTTTCACCACATTGCCTGTTGTACAGTTGCTTTGTCTGCCGCAAACTGTGTGTGGCTTTTGTCCCCGCACTACAGCTTTTCGCAGCTGTGCGCTCAGAGCAAAGTCGAAGTATTCCATGTGTTCCATACATTCCATGTAGCAAGGATGGCAGCTTTGTGACACCACATAGAGTCCGTGCCGCCGTGCTCTCACCACAACCGGGGCCACCAGGACAGGAGCGGCGATGCAAACAAGAGAACTGGTTGGCATGTGAATGCACCGGTCTTGACTGAACTGTCTGAACAGAACCCACCATAACCAGACCGAGGCAGAGAGTGTCAGTAGCGCGGGGGTTTCACGGCGTGTCTGGGAAACCAGAGGTACCGGGTTCAGTTTCACGTGGTCGCAGCTTCACCGCCCTACCTTACAGGGTGACAGGCAGGCGATGTCGTATAGTCCCAGCTGCTGAGGTTGTCGTAAAATCCCAAGGGCAAGAACGACAAGGGTTGCAATATTCGGTCGCTTGTGTGGCAGGGCTGTCGATACTTTTTTGACCGATTTTACATCCCTGCCTTGAGTTGTACTGCATATTGCGACACCCCTTGCTCAAAATCTGTCGAGCAGCATCGTACCGGGCGGATGTCAGCTCAGTATCGAAGCTCTTCAGACTTGATTGATGGGCCTGGATGGGCCCAGCTTATAGTTGCATGCTTTACACGTCACTGGATGAATACCGAGAACGGCGAGCTGGTACGTAGTGCGGAAGCTTCCATTCCCCACTACTTCTTGCTAAACGGATGTCCCCCCACAAAGATGGTTGATAGGATTTTTCGGTGTGATACGATCCGTGTGGTGCTCAGCGAATCTTCCTAATCAGCCGTGAGAGTGTAGCTCACAATATTTGTGTTAGTTCACGCCTAAAGTGCCTGCCATTTGCTGCTAGTTGCCGGATTTACATTGCGGGACAGGTGGACAGGACAGGTGACCCTACGGTCCACCATTCTGGAGGGGCGGATGATCATGTATTATTGCTATCCAGCAGATGCTTGCGGCCGTGTCTGTGTGCCGCCGGACACATTGAGGTCCGCGAGGTACCGTGCCGTCCTGTTGAAGAGCAGCGCGGCCGTTGACCGTCCGTGCCGTGCAGTTCACAGGTTACGGCGGCTCGCTGTTCAACAAGGACCCGTACGACAAGGACGACGAGGAGGCCGACGCCATCTACGACGCCGTCGACGAGCGTATGGACGAGAAACGCAAGGAATACCGCGAAAAGAAGCTCAAAGGTTTGCACACCGGTCCACTGCAGCCGGCGGAGTGGTGGTGCTCGTCTGTAGAAGCTTCCGCAATGCAAACAGCCTTGGACGCTATGGTGCCGGTGACATGTAGGGACCGTCTGCACGTGCGGGCACCGCGGTGATCGGTATTGGATACGCCTGTTTCATGTGGAGGTCAGGTGCCAATTTGCCACGGTCCACCATTCTGGAGGGGCAGATGATCATGGATTGTTGATCTATGATTGTGTGATTGTGCGGTGTGGAAGGCATTCGAAACTTAACATTTTTTACCACTATACGATTGGGCGTTTCATGGGAGTTTGGTTCTCCTTGTCTCACAGTGTGGGTTACATAGTTTTTGTTGTTTTCCCATCGCGCCCATCCATGGGCATCGTATATTTTGAAACAGTGCAAATTGCCAACACCAAACATTGGTTTTGTGCTTCAGCCTCGCTTTCGGCTGCAGAATTGGATCACCGTCGGCGGCTGTCTGCCGAATGTTGTCCAGTGTCTGTGTGGAGCTGCCTACCTCCTGCAACCATCCATCGTCCATCGCGCTCGATGTTAGAACTCCCCGAACCATCTGACGCCCAACCTCCCTAACACTCCTCCCTCGGACCCCCCCCCCCCCCCCCCCCTCTCCCGCCATCTGACGCCGCGCCCACCTGCAG